CAGTGGGACAATCTCAGCTCACTGCAACCTCTGCCTCCCACGTTCAAGCAATTCTCCTGCCTCAGACTCCCAAGTAGCTGGGATTACAAGCATGTGCCACCAGGCCCAGCTAATTTTGTATTTTTAGTAGAGACGGGTGTTTCTCCGTGTTGGTCAGCCTGGCCTCGAACTCCTGACCTCAGGTGATCCGCCTACCTTGGCCTCCCAAAATGCTGGGATTACAGGCGTAAGCCACCAGGCCCAGCCAATTTTTTTTGTTTCTGAGATGGAGTCTCACTCTGTCACCCAGTCTTGAGTGCAGTGAGGCAGTCTCTGCTCACTGCAACCTCCGCCTCCTGGGTTCAAGCAATTCTTCTGCCTCAGCCTTCTGACTAGCTGGGACTACAGGTACATGCCACCACGGACAGGTAATTTTTGTTATTTTTGCAGAGACAGAGTTTCACCATGTTGGCCAGGCGGGTCTTGAACTCCTGACCTCAAGTGATCTGCCCACCTCAGCCTCCCAAGGTACTGGGATTACAGGTGTGAGCCACCATGCCTGGCCTAATTGTATTATTACTGATATATAGGAAAACTTCTCTCTTATCTTGCTAACTTACTGAGCTCTCTTACCAGATTTTCACTTCACTGTCTTGGATTTTCCTAAATTGCTTCCCCTTTCAAAATTTACACAACTTGTTTTCCACCTTATCATATTGACCAGCACCTCTAGAGCAATGTGGAATTGTGTAGCCTCTTTGCCTTGCTCCTCAATTTAAAGGAAGTAATTCTTGTATTTCACTATTAAGTATAATGCCTGTTTTTGGCTTCTTTTCAATCTCTTTTCTCAAATTGCAAATATGACTCTGTATATTTAGCTTATCAAGAATTGTTATGAGGAATAAAGGATGAATTTTATCAGATATTTTTATTAGCATCTATCCTTCAAGGAAGCAGATTACATGAATAGATTATCATATATAGTAACAATCTTTATTTTCCTGGAATAAACACTACTTTATCATAACATTATTAATAATTTTAATGAACTTTACTAAATTTATTAAAAGTTTATTTTTTTCATCCATTTTCAGAAATGAGGTTAGTTTGATGGCTTAAATGTTTGTGCTTTCCTCACATATTGGTGTCTGGATTATGCCATCCTAATATAATGAGCTGGAAAGCTTTTTACCTCCTTTTAAATCTCTGGAACTGTTTATATAACATAGGAAATATCTATTTCTTTAGTATTACAAATAAACCCAACTGTTTCTCATTACTGTGCTCAGCAGTCCCTTCACCTCTTCTACATTCTTGCAGTTTTCCTTGTGCTGTAAATAATTCCTTCTTAATTCTTTCAGAAACAATTGTGGGTGGCACAATTTCTCAATATTTCCATGTCTGAGCAAGGTTTATTTTGTCATCATCCTTGAATGCTAGTTTGGCTGTATATACAAACTTTCAAAAGCATCTTCCCTTAAGTCTTCGAAGATACTGCTGCATTTCCTTGTACCACCCAGTATTAGAGACGCATTGTTAGATGTCAATGTGTTTCTCATTTTTCGTAGATTACCTATTTTATCTCTTTGAACACTGGAGGTTTTTAGGCTCAGGGGGTTAAGCCACTCAACACTTCACTAACCCTTTTAGTCTGAAGATCTACATTTTTCTTCACATCAGAGAATATTTCTCCTATTCCTTCTAAATTAATTTCCATTTTTCATCTCATAGTATTAAGAAGATATTGGGAGCTGTAGATATCTTCTTCCTTGTTAGCTTTTCTGTTATGTTTTCCAGTCATTTGCCCCTGTAGACTCTGTATTACCTACATGAACATTATTTACAGTCAGTTTTAGATTTCTGCTTGGCCTTTCTGCAGCTTGCTCACGGGGGGCTTTCATGCTCAGTGAACATGAAGTATTCCTAACTTTGCCTGAAAAAGCCCGGTTAGGGAGACAAGTTTAATGGGGAAAGGATCTACCATCCAAACTAGAATTTTTTTTTTTTTTCACCGTGTATATCAATTTACCCCCTTATAAATGCGAACAAATAAGAGGGCAGTAACCTTCATGCGTGATTTCAAACGATCTAGGGAAAGACATTTTAAAAAAAACAAACAAACATGGTTCAAGGAAAATAGCCATACTCATGTTGATGACAGTGTTAAGTGTTAATTTCTTTGAAGCACAATAGTACAAGATCCAATTTTAAACATGATCTGGGAGTCCTACTTCTATGAATTTAATGTACACAATTATCAGAATAAATACTCAAAGATTTATGTGCAAAAGTATTCATTTCAGCTTTGTTTCAGAGAAAACAATGTGGAAACAACCTATATTCTCATCAGTAGGAAACCAGATTCACACATTTAAAAGCAATTTAAAAGAACAAGATAGAAGCACATGTACTAGCATTGATAAATCTCTAACACATCTTGCTGAGTAAAAAAACATATTTTTTATGTTTTAAAAGCCAACATAATTTATATTGTAGAGATTCATTTATATTATGTAAATATAGTATAAAGTTCTAGAATATGCACAGACTGTCATCTCTGGAAAGTAAAGAGATAATGAAATTAGAAGTGATGGTCGAAGAAAAATTCAGATCTGCCTGTAGTGTTACAATGTTTTAGAGAGACAATATAAATATAATTACCTTTGTAATTTGAAATTAATTTTAAAAGAGGAGTAAGGTAGATCAATAAGTAACAATATGAAAACTATCTTAAATTAATTGTCAAGTGAAAACACAATGTTTAAATACTGTATAGAAGACTCATTTGTCGGCCGGGTGTGGTAGCTCAGGCCTATAATCCCAGCACTTTGGGAGACTGAGGCAGGTGAATCACCTGAGGTTAGCAGTTTGAGACCTGCCTGGCCAACATGGCGAAACCCCGTCTCTACTAAAAAATACAAAAAAAATTAGCCTGGCATCGTAGCGCATCCCTGTAATTCCCACTACTTGGGAGGCTGAGGCAGGAGAATCGCTTGAACCCGGAAGGCTGAGGTTGCAGTGAGCCAGGATAGTGCCACTGAGCTCCAGCCTGGGTGACAGAGTGAGACTCCATCTCAAAAAAAAAAAAAGAAAGACTCATTTGTGTAAGAAAAAAAGTGAGAGTTATATGTGTATACGTATATGCATATACAAATATGCATAAAATATTCCTGAATAATATCCAAAAAGCTGGTAACATGGATTGTCATCAAGAAGGGGACCTGAGTCATAGTTAGGATGGAGGAAGACTTATCTTTCAGTGTCTTCTTTTGTGAACCATTTGGGCTTTTTACCATATATATGCACTAGTTAATATTTTTTCTTTTGTTAAAGAAACCATGATTTCCATATATGAACATACACCTTTAGAATATAGGTCTAGAGATTTTCCGTGCTCGTGGAATTCTGAAGTAACTCACAAACTATAAACAAAACCAACCCATTATTTTTAAATCTCTCAGGAGCCTGAGAACAAGGGTGATCATTCAAAGGTACGAATATACACTGCTCCTTGCATGATTCAAGAGCATCAGGAGACCCTGAAACGACTGTCTGAGGTCTGGCAAAAGGTCTCTGAACAGGATGATCTCATTCAAGAACTTCGAAATAAGCTGGCCTGCAGTAACGCTTTGGTAAGTGCCTTCTTCTAGAAATGTCTCTGGGAGACCCTCAATCAAGACATGGGGAGAGAAAGGAGGGAAAAAGAGTCACCTAAATTAATCTTTTTCACCAAGAATCCTCAAATGTCTGATATATACTTGCCTTCCCACTTTGTTCATATTCTCCATGATAATGCCTCTCCCCATCCACGTAGTTTGAAATTCTAAAGAATCTTAAAATCTCTCACACAACAACCTAAATGCCCATCAGTCGGGAAATGGTTAAAGAGATTAAGAGAATAATTAAAGAGATATCCCTATTGTGGAATAATATGCAGCCAGTAAAATCAACTAAGCACATCTGTAAGAGCTGCACGGAAGGAGCTTTGTGACTTATTGCCGAGAATAAGTTGCAGAATTCCATGTATAGTTCAGTCCTACTTTTGTTTTATCTCTAATGATAATACTAATATGTAAGTACAAACTGAATTTTCAATACTGTCCTCTCCCTTAGTGGAAGTGAGAGAGGGGGGAATAAGTGAAGAGGGGGTTTCACTTTTCCATGCTTGGGTTTTATTTGAATTATTTTCAACAAATTCAAAAAAGCATAAAATTAAAACCAAAATTTCGTGGTTTTTTAATTTTTGAAAAAAGAAATTACACACACAGTCACACACTCCATAAGGAACCTCCTTCTTTAATTCTCAAACTTTGTATCCTGTCCTCTGACAGATTAGGTACATCTCTCCATCACAGCCCCTGAAGAACCTTCTTCTGCCTCATCAAATGGACCAAACAGAGGTTTAGGAGAGAGTGCAAGTGTGGGCATTGATGAACTTGAGACAGATCACATACGCCTTAGAAAACCTTGATGTCAGATGGGGAGCTTAACTCCTTCTCCCTACCTACCCCACAGGGAATGCCTGATGAATTGTATAATTCTGCAACAAACTTATGCCACAGAAAGGAACACTCTGAAATAATAATCATGGTAACAAGCATGTTTCATTGATCATCCGGCATAACCGATCTAAGCTTATTTGCAGGTTCTGGAGCGTGAAGAGGCTTTGATAAAACTACAAGCCGACTTTGCTTCCTATACAGCTACCCACAGATACCCTCCTAGCTCCTCAGAAGAGTGTGAAGACATCAAAAAGGTGGGAGAAATTTGCCGATCTGTGCCTACCGGGATCGGGCTGAGCTGGGTTTGATTCTGGGCTTTCCTACTTATTTTTTATTTTTATATGACAGTTTATATTTTATTTTATATCTGTATGACCTTGGTTGGCCCTGCCACAAGGATACTGTGTATAATGTATACCAAACTCCAAAGACAGGCTGCATTCAGTTTTGGAATTGCACGTGTCTCTTAACCCACTTCTAACAGTACACCTAAGCAAGAGAATACTTCTGTTGCCTTGCTAGATTCAAAAGGACCATCCAGCCTCCTAGTGTCTGGCTGGAGTTGAAAAGTAGCTAATTTAGGAAAGATTATTAATCCAAATTTATTCCCCCTGCTTTTTTTTTTGTTTGTTTGAGAACTCTGTGTTTGCAAAATTCAAAACAGTATCGAAAGTTGATTCTAATAATAAATAAGCAGTTAAACCATGTAAACAAATAGCAAGAATTGATTGGCCAGGTGTGGTGGCTCATGCCAGTAACCCCAGAACTTTGGGATGCCAAGGCGAGCAGATCACTTGAGGTCAGGAGTTTGAGACCCACCTGTCCAACTTCGTGAAACCCCATCTCTCCTAAAAATACAAAAATTAGCCAGGTGTGGTGGTGAAGGCCTGTAGTCCCAGCTACTAGGGAGGCTAAGGCAGGAGAATCACTTGAACCCAGGAGGTCGAGGTTGCAGTGATCTGAGATCACACCACTGCACTCCAGTCTGGGCCACAGAATGAGACTCCATCTCAAAAAAAAAAAGATGAACCAGGAGTTAAAACATGGCCAGGTGTCCTCTTAGGTGAGGTCCTGTTAAGTCAGCTGTGACTGAACTTGGTACCTGGCAAAGCCAGCCACAGGAGGCCACGCTGGGCAGGTGCTGGCATGCCTGCATGCCCCAAGACTGATGCCAAAATAGGGGTGAAGTGGGGTGGCAGAGGGAATAAACAACACGTCAGCTCCCCAAGGGGTTCTCTAGTGGGGGAGGAGGAGACTCTCCTCTTTCCAGGACTTTCCAATCCCAGAAACTTGGTTGAACAAGGGATCAATATTGAACTTTGTAATTCTTCCTTGGACATCTGTCAATATTTATTTTAAAGATCAGTTACATGTTATTCACATCCTGACCTAGAGCAAAAATCTCATAAGACTCCATTTTTTTAATGATACAAACTTCCCCAAGAAGCAGAGTACATCTTCCCCCATCGTGCTGTTTCCTTTCCAAAGCCTTCATGCTTAGCAACGAGAGACCCACGCCAGCTTTTTCCAGCAGGCCTCTCCTCCCATCGGCCAGTGTGGCACAGTGTGGGGCTTTGAGTCCCTGCAGTGCCCACTCCTGGGTCCTCTCCCCAATATCCCTGATGCCCAGGCAACGAATTGCTCCTCCCCAGCCACATGCTCCTGCCTTCTTTTGATGAGGAAGACAATCCCCTCTCCTTCAAGGTAGAAGCCAAAGGCCTTGCAGAAGGGCCCCAAGCCCCATGTGATGTGACCACCAGCTCCTCACCCCTCCTCCAGCTCTCCCCATCGCCTGCTCCGTGCCAGCCGCGCTTGCCTCCTACATGTTCCCTCCACAGGCCTTGTCTCTGGCTAGTCTCCCCGCCTGAAAGCTCACCTCCAGCAAGTCTCAGCTGAGAGGCCATCTTTGCAGGGAGGCCAGCCTATTGTCCTACTTAAAATTACAACATGCACCTCACCCACCCATGCCCTTCCATTCCCCTTCACTCTTCTGTTTCCCCCATAGCACTTATCAACTGTTAGCATTTTCTGTAAGTCACTACTTATTATGCTCTTCATCTCACCCACTAAGGCGGCTCTGCGGGGACAAGGATTTGTCTGTGTCTTTTGCTCCACATTATTTGCTTTGAAAACATTAACAGAGTCATGCCCAGCACCCAGGACAGTGCCGGGCACACAGTAGATTCTCCATAAACAACTGTCTGTCTCAGGGAGGAAGGAATACAGGGATGGCTGCTTTTATGTGTATTCCGTGTGAGCCTGAGAAGTCTGCAGTATCCTTTTGTTTTATTCTGTTTTTAAAAAAAATGTAATTGAGATACAGTGGACAAATTCACCACTGGTTTTTAGTATATTCACAACATTGGGCAATCATCACCACTACCTAATTCCAGAACATTTGTGTCACCCCAGAAGAAACCCTGTACCAGCAGTCACTCCACGTACCCATCCCCTGGCCCCCAGCAACCGTTACTCTACTACTCTGTCCCTACCGACTGTTGTGTGTGGCCGCTGGGCATTTTAGAAAGCATTCTCCATTGTCTCTCATCTCCTCATCCTGCCCTATTCTTCCATCTGCCAGATACTGAAGCACTTGCAGGAGCAGAAAGACAGCCAGTGCCTGCATGTGGAGGAGTACCAGAACCTGGTGAAGGATCTGCGCATGGAACTAGAGGTCGTGTCGGAACAGAAGAAAAACATCATGAAGGGTAAACCAGGGTGGCAGGCTGTGGCAGGGGAGCCAGATGGAAGCCTAGCTCTCCCCTGAGCATAGACTCTGTCCCGCCCCATGGTAGACATGATGAAGCTGGAGCTGGACCTGCACCGACTGCGGGAGGAGACATCTGCCCACATTGAGAGGAAGGATAAGGACATCGCCATCCTGCAGTGCCGGCTGCAGGAGCTGCAGCTGGAGTTCACCGAGACGCAAAAGCTTGCTTTGAAGAAAGACAAGGTAAAATGAGGAACACTGGTTGGATTCCCAGTGGGGCAGGTGTGAGGCCATGCCCTGGCAGGAACCGGTTCTGCCTTCACCCACCGTGATTGCTTTGGGAGCCTCAACATAAGCACAATGAGATGGTGGCTCTTCAGGCCCAGGTGCAATTCTAAGCACTTCTTTGGTATTTCTCATCATACATAATAAATGAATCTGATCATGCAGGGACCAAAACAGAGGCACTGACTTTTCCCAAGCCCCGCAAGGTAGCAAGAGCATTTGGGACACACTTACTTGCATGATTCCCTTATACTCTTTTTATGCTTGATAGTGGAAGGAAATGATATAAAATAATAGGTAGCCTTACTAAGAATTTCAAGTGAATTTCACTTTTAAAATTACAAATATCTGGCTGGGCATGGTAGCTCATGCCTGTAATCCCAGCACTTTAAGAGGCCGAGGTGGGGAGATCCCTTGAGCCCAGTTTGAGACCAGCCTGAGTAACATGATGAAACCCTGTCTCTACAAAAAAATGCAAAAATTATCTGGGCACGGTGGTGTGCATCTGTAGTCCCAGTTACTTGGGAGGCTCAAGTCATAGGATCATGTGAGCCCCTTGAGCCCAGGAGGTGGAGGCTGCAGTGAGTCGTGATCATGCCATGCACTCCAGCCTGGACCTAGAATGAGACCCTATCTCAAAACAAACAAACAAATTACAAATAGTTTATGAATATGTAAATAGGCAGTTTGAAAATATTAATGGAGCTGTGCCCTAAAAGAACTGTTACTGCCAACATAAATCAAGTTCTTAGAAAAACCTAGAAATGGAACCAAGAACAGAAAGGTTGTGAAACCAATGCAAGCTTTTGTAAGCAGTACTATTCCGACTCTGAACTTCCGTGAGAGCTATTAAAAATAATCCAGCTGAGGGCTGGGTGCAGTGACCCACACTTGGAATCCCAGCACTTTGGGAGGCCGAGGCAGGTGGATCACTTGAGGTCAGGAGTTCAAGACCTGCCTGACCAACATGGTGAAAGCCCATCTCTACTCAAACAAACAAACAAAAAAACCACAAAATTAGCTGGACATGGTGGTGCACGGCTGTAATCCCAGTTACTTGGGAGGCTGAGGCAGGAGAATGACTTGAAGCCGGGAGGGGAGGCTACAGTGAGTCAAGATTGCACCACTGCACTCCAGCCTGGGCAACAAGAGTGAACTCTGTCTCAAATAATAATAATCACCATCATCATCATCCAGTTGATAGGCTGGCTGGTCAGGAAAACCTCCTGTTTCAAGGCACAGAGGAGATATGCCCATCAAAACAGAGGCATTTGGAGAGATGATGACAAGGCACAGAGTCTGGGTAAACAGCTTTGAGTCATTTGTATATTCACTCCACAAATATTTTTAAGCCCTGAGATATGCCAAGCACTGTCCTAGACACTAAGAATGTAATAAAACCTGCAACATGCTGCCTCTCATGGAGCTTGCACTCCTGTGTGGGGAGACAGCCAGTAAACAAAATTAATATATAATACTGATACACCCACGTCAGACACTGGTAAACCCCTCCGACAGCTTGGTGGCGCTTTTACACAGCGTGATCAGGGAAGTCCTCTCTGATAAGGTGCCATTGGGGCAGAGATTTGAACGAAGTGAGGGAGCCACCCAGGCAGAGGTCTGGTGGAAGAATATTCCAGGCAGAGGGAATAGCAAGTGCAAAGGCCCTGAGGTGGGGTCTGCTTGGAGTGTTCCAGGAGCTCAGCGGAAGCAGAGCGGGGTGGGGGTGGCAAGAGGTGAGGTCAGACAGGTAGCCTCGGACCAGACCATAGGGTGATTGTCAGGACTCCCTCCTTTTTCTAAGAGATGGAAGCCAGTGGAGGGTTTTGAGCTGAGGCAAAAGATCTGACTTGCACTTTTAAGATCCCCGCCTCTAGCTGGGTGCAGTGGCTCATGCCTGTGATCTCAGAACTTTGGGAGGCCAAAGTAGGAGGATCACTTGAGCCCAGGAGTCTGAAACCAGCCTGGGCAACATGGTGAGACCCCATCTCTGCAAAAAGAATGTTTAAACTAGCTGAGTGTGATGGCCACCCCTGTAGTCCCAGCTACTCAGGATGTTAGCGGTGGTAGTTATCCATATGGGTCTATAGCAACCTCAGATCTTGCCTCCTTAGAAGAAAGAATTTGACTGAGGGACAGAAGGCAGAAGGAGAGACTGAGGCAAGTTTTAGAGCAGGCAGGAGTGAACGTTTTTTAAAAGCCTTAGAGCATTAATGAAAGGAAGGAAAATACACTTGGAAGAGGGCCAAGCAGGTGACTTGAGAGACCGAATGCCGTTTGACCTCTTGACTTGGGGTTTTCTTACTGCAACCTGCCAGGTTCAAGCGATTCTCCTGCCTCAGCCTCCCAAGTAGTTGGGATTACAAGTACCCACCACCATGCCTAGCTGATATTTGTATTTTTAGTATGAGATGGGGTTTCACCGTGTTGGCCAGGCTGGTCTCTAACTCCTGACTTCAAGTGATCCACCTGCCTCGGCCTGCATATACTCCTGGGGTCCTACATTACTTCTCACCATTCTCCTAACTCCTGAGACCTTACCCAGGAATCTGCTGCTCACCAGTTTCAGGTGTTTTCTATCTATTAGGAGCCTGCCTTTCCCTGGCACCAGCTGTGACCAATTATTACTTTAGAGTGACAATTAACAACCTCCTGACTATCACCTGATGGTCGCCCGACAACCCTGGTGTATGTGGCAGGGGAGCCCTCTCCTGCCCTGCTCACACCTGACTAGCTACCTGCTGTAAAGGGAGGCTGAGATGGGAGGATCGCTTGAGCCTAGGAGGTTATAGCTGCATTGAGCTATGGTCGTGCCACTGCACTCCAGCCTGAGCAACAGAATGAGACTGCCTCAAAAACTAAAACTAAACTAAGATAATAAAAGACCAGGCATGGTGGCTCAGACCTGTAATCCCAACACTTCGGGAGGCTGAGGCAGGTGGATCATTTGAAGTCAGGAGTTTGAGACCAGCCTGGCCAACATGGTGAAACCCCATTTCTACTAAAAAGACAAATATTAGCCAGGCGTGGTGGCGTATGCCTCTAATTCCAACTGCTTGGGACGCTGAGGCAGAAAAATGGCTTGAACACGGGAGGCTGCAGTGAGCCAAGATCATGCCATTGCACTCCAGCCTGGGTGACAGAGAGAGACTATGTCTCAAAAACAATAAGAATAAGAATAAAGACTCCCTCTCTTGACGGTGTGGAGAATAGCCTGAGGGGAACAGGAGTGGAGGCAGGGAGGTTGGCCCAATGTCCAGACAGGGGATGCCAGTGACTTGGATGAGGGCTTGAGACAACCTTTCATTGCCTTCATCCACCGCCGCTCAGAGCTTTCCCAGCATTTGCATTTTGCTTTCTTCAGTTCCTCCAAGAGAAAGATGAGATGCTGCATGAGCTGCAGAAGAAACTGACACAGGTTCAGAACAGCTTCCTGAAAAAGGAGAAGGAGCTGGAGAAGCAGCAGTGCATGGCCACAGAACTCGAAATGACGGTCAAGGAGGCTAAGCAGGACAAGTCCAAGAAGGTGGAGTGCGAGGCCCTACAGGCTGAGGTCCAGAAGCTGAAGAACAGTCTCGAAGAAGCCAAGCAGCAGCAGAGGCTGGCTGGTGAGGCCCCCGCAGGTGCTGTCCCCACCACACTTTTCTGTGGGGCTAGAGCAGCCCTAGAGCAGCCACCTTCTCTCTCCCAGAGGCCACTTCCCTCGCCCCCTCCAGTGTCTCACTGCAGACCTTCTCAGGGCCTCATCCTACACCTCACAGCAGTGGCCACCACCCTCTTGTATTCCTTCACCCACTCCCAAGCTCACCTGCCCTCTGGAGTCACCCACCCACCATTCTCCCAGCAGTCTTGCCTGAAGACCCTGGGCCTTCCTGGCCACAGGGAGGCAGGGCTCTGTCCTTTGCACCACATTCCTCTCCATCTTCTCCAGGCCCTCATCACACAATTTGCTTCTCCCTTCCCTGGCTTTTTATTCCCTTTCTCCTTTTTGCCCCCAAATACATTCTGTTCTGTGCAGCTTGTACTGTGGATGATGTCCTTGTCCCTCCACAGAGCCTGCTTTCTCAGAGGTCACCAATAACTTCTTGCCTTAGGTACAGGGTTTCTCTGGGGGTGATGAAAATGTTCTGGAATTAGATATTGATGATGGTTGCATGACTTTGTGAGTATCCAAGAAAACCACTGAATTGTATACTTTTAAAGGGTAAATTTGCCAGGCACGGTGGCTCATGCCTAGAATCCCAGCACTTTTGGAGGCCTAAGTGCGTAGATCACTTGAGCCCAGGAGTTCAAGATCAGTCTGGGCAATGTGGCAAAACTTTATCTCTACAAAACACAGAAATTAGCCAGGCATGGTGGTGGGCACCTGTAGTTCCAGCTACTTGGGAGGCTGAGGTGGGAGGATCACTTGAGCCTGAGAGGTCAAGGTTGCAGTGAGCTGAGATTATGCCAGTACACTCCAGACTGGGCAATGGAGTGAGACTCTGTCTCATAAAAAGTGGAGGGGGGGTGCTAAATTTATATTACATGAATTACTTATCAATTTATAAGATAAGATCCAAGCTTGGCTTCCTTCTTTACCCTCCTTTAATGCTGTGTTCCTTGATGCTATTGGCTACTTATGCCTCAAATCTTGTTTCTCAGCTTTGGAGATATCACAGGTCCATCCTTCTACTACAAACCTCCCCATCGTTCTCTTTTCTCTCCTGCTTTGACTGTAGTCATCTAGAGACTCTCCCCTTCTTACTCATTCTTCAGTGAGCTCCCTCCTCTGTGTAGCTCCCTTTCTCTACAGGTAACTCCAAAACTTCAAGCCCCAGCTCTAACTTTGTAACTGCCTTCCCCTCATACCCGGTGGAAGCAAAGGCATGGGCTAGAAGAATATTGCTGGAAGTTTTTCTCTATTCTAATGTGTTCCAATTTTCCTGAAGCAGTTTTTCTTTTATGTCAGATTCCTGCTCAAGAACCCGCTAAATCACATCTAAGCATTTCTCTTAGGCTTCCAAAGTCCTCCAAAGCCCCCGCTCATCCATCCACTTATTCAACTCTATCACCCACCATTCCTCCCCATTTCCCTTTCCGGTCAAACTGATGTCTTCTACCCTCCTCCCACACACCTTCCCCATTCTCCTCACCAGGCATCTGCTCTAACAATCCCCGCCCCTGGAATTCCCTTCCTCCCACTTCTTTTTCTACATCTCAGCTTCTGTTTCTCCACTCATCCATCTCCAAGCGCTCTGGCCCATGTGGATCTCTCTTCCTGAACCCGGTCAGTGTGAGTTTAACATGACAATGTTCTCTAGGACGGTGGGCCGGTAACCCTCCCTCAGGAGCCTCTAAACTCCAGGAGGGTCAGGATTTGTCCCCAGTGACAGAATGAGTTGCACATGAGTTACTGAGAAATTTCTACCAATGTGTTTAATTTTAGTCCAGAAGGTGTCCACAGCTGAGGGGTAGACAAAGACAGATAATTTAATAGGGCTCTTTAGGACTGATCGTGAAATAGAGAGAAATGAGGACAGACTGGGAATTGAAGTAGAGCACAAAATGAAAGGAGAAACTCTTCAGCCAGGCTGATAACAGTGTGATCTTCATACACCCTCCCTTCTCACATGGCCATCTCCCCACTTCCGCAGCTCAGCAAGCAGCCCAGAGCAAAGAAGAGGCTGTGCTGGCAGGCTGTCACCTGGAGGACACCCAGAGGAAACTGCAGAACGGCCTCCTCCTGGACAAGCAGAAGGCAGACACCATCCAGGAACTACAGCGAGAACTTCAGAAGCTGCAGAAGGAGTCTTCGATGGCTGAGAAGGAACAAACCTGCAACAGGTGCCCAGGCTCACCTCCAGAGAGAGGTTCTGTCCCTCTTGAGCCAGCCGGGCCCTCTGTGGGCAGCTGCCCAGGCATGGGAAAGCAAGGACTTCCCATGGGGTCAGCTCTGCAATCTGCCCACATGGGCACTGAAGTCTGTCCTCCTGTGGCTGTTATTTTGCTTTAGAAAACGGGCGGAGGAGCTGTCATCAGAACTCTCTGAAGCCCTGAGGAAGCTTGAAAATTCAGACAAGGAAAAGAGGCAGCTTCAGAAGACAGTGGCTGAGCAGGATATGAAAATGAATGACATGCTCGATCGTATCAAGCTCATTCAGCACCAGGTGTGACGGGCAGGCAGACAGCCCATTCAAGTGCTTGCTCTGCTTAAGATAAAACACAGGCCAGGAGCAGTGGCTCACACCTGTAATCCCAGCTCTTTGGGAGGCCAAGGCAGGCAGATCACTTGAGCCCAGGTGTTCCAGACCAGCCTGGGCAACATAGCAAGACCCCACCTTACAAAAAAAAAAATACAAACATTATCAGGGCATAATGGCACATGCCTGTAGTCCCAGCTACTTGGGAGGATAAGGTGAGAGGATCCCTTAAGCCTGGTCGATTGAGGCTTCAATGAGCTATGATCTCACCACTGCACTACAGCCTAGGTGACAGAGTGAGACCCTGTCTCAAAAAAAAGAAAAAAGATTAAATATATCAGACATTATTTGGGAAGATGTCACTACCAATCCATGCAAATTAATTGACCAGAATTGTGTTAGTATGCTAAGCCAGCCTCTCAGCACCAGCTCCCATTACCAGTGAGAAGCATTTTCAATGGTTAACCTTAAAATTAATCAAACAACAGTGTTGTTTTTTCCAGGATTCAAAAGCTATTCTTATCAGTCAATGTATTTATTTTTTAAATAGTGCCCCGCAGCAGGAGATAATTGTCAGTCAATTTAAAGTCTTTGATCTCTGAATTACTCTTTTTATGCTCTTCTAATATTTTTTAAACTTCATTCAAAAAGGTTTTTGATAAAGATTTGGAATCTTCCAAATCTTTGGGAAGAATTGATGGGAAAGTAGGAGAGAAAGCCAGTGCTTAGGAATTGGATCAATAAATAAAATAAATTGCTATATCTGACTGAACAAAGAAAAAATGTTACAGACATTAGAGGAAACCTTTTATTTTACGTATGCTATATAACTAAGGAATTGTCTTCTTATTCATTCCAACCATGCCCTATGTGCAGTTGTCTGTATTTTTCCCCCAAATATAATATAGTCTAAGACAGTCTTTCAGCTCAGTCTTTATTTTTTCAGCACAGGGAGCAAGAATCCACCAAATGCAAGTTAGAAGATGATCTTCAGGAGGCCACAAAGCTACTGGAGGACAAACGGGAGCAGTTGAAGAAGAGCAAAGACCGTGAGAAGCTGATGGAGGAAGAACTTGAAGCTCTGCGGCAGGAATTTAAAAAGAAAGACAAGACGGTGAGTGGAAGAATCCCAGGAGAGCTGGGTCAGGAATCCAGAGTGGGACATGACCCCAGCCGGACCTTGGGGGATGCAGAGGCAATGGATGCTCAGACCTTAGGAAAGACAGGAAGGACAGTGGGAAAGGCCAGCGAGGAGGGGAGTGAGAAGGCCTGAGCTCCCGCAGGGTGGAGATAGAGCTGGGGGAGAGGGAGGATGGAGTGGGGCTTTTATAGTTATCTGAGATTAACACCTCTTTGCTGTGCTTTATTCTTTAATGAGCGAACAGTTGAAAGAGAATTCCAGAAAGTTGGAGGAAGAAAATGAGAATCTCCGAGCAGAGTTACAGTGTTGTTCTACACAACTGGAATCCTCTGTCAACAAATACAACACCAGCCAACAGGTCATCCAAGACTTGAATAAAGAGGTGAGTAGACAGGAACCCCAAGGGAGTGAGGAACTTGAACCCTGTGACCCTTGACCTGAAATCTGTACCCACCTCTCCTCCACACAGAAATGCAGCTAACTGCTCAGCCAACTGTGGATCCTGGGCCACCTGCAGCTCCACTTCCCTCCTGGTTGGCACCTGGTTGCTGAGCCAGAGAAATGTTTCTTCCATATGTGGAAGATCTCATCTCATATCTGGTGGAGCCCCCAAGCTATTTGGGTTTTGGCATCAAGTCTTCCAATGTTCTGTTTTAGACCAGAGTTGAATGAATCCATTTTGGGGGGCAATTTGCTAGGGAACACTTCCAAAACTTGTCATGAAGCACAAAAAGGAGATGAAAGGGGGGACAGTTATTTTTCATTACACAAGTAAAAATGACAGAAAGGAGTAAATAGCATCTGACATACGCTAAGCACTGTGCTTGAATTCAGTCATGATTTATTTATCATCCACTTAAGCTCTTTACATGGCTTCCATCTGCTCTACTGCCAACAAGAGAGACATGATAGAGGAAGGAAAGATGGAGGGCCAAAGTCACTGACCAGCAAGTGATGGGATGAACCACTATTTGAACCTGAATTATCCAGTTCTAACACCTCTTCCCTTTCTCCCTCATGATAAGCAGCCATCCTTTCTCCAGCTAAATCCTTTCCACCTTTCTGGGCAAGAGAAAAATATAACACCTTGGTAGATGGTCTCTTGGGCTACAAATGAAAGGCCAAGCAGCCCTTTCCTATTATTGACAGTAATTAATTTATAAAATACTGTGGAAATATTCTAGAATCAAAGAATCCCAGTATAACTGAGGAACTGAATTTGTAATTGTAATTAATGTTAAGCTTATTTAAATGTAAATAGCCTCATGTGGCTAGTGGCTACTATATTATACAGCACAGACCTAAGGCACTGACTGTTCTCAGAGTTGTCCTCCAGAGATAATAATCTCTCCTTGAGTGTGATCCAGAGTTGAAGTCTGAGTCACTGAGATCCCTAAGGAACCTCCATGAATATATGGGATACTCAGATTCCTACGTGTTTAGTATGAACCTAGTGTCATATTTGCCAAAAGAAAGATAACCAAGTAAATGTGAAAGTAAAAACAATAATTTCAGATTACCTTTAATGAGAATCAGGAAGTTAAGGGATGTGTGTGTGTGTGTGTGTGTGTGTGTGTGTGTGTGTGTGTGTGTAAGCATCTTCAACTTTTAAAAACATCCCTCACATAGAAAAACTTAATTAATTGAAATGGCCATTAGAAAGAAGCTTTGATTATTTTTCTAGAATGCACTTCCTTTCATTAATATTCCATATTTTAATTTGAAAATTTTCCATTTGAAGCCAAGGCAATATACCTTGATATCTTTTTCATCTCTTTGATTCTAGAATATTTCTACAGTATTTTATAAATTAATTACTGTCAATAATAGGAAAGCTCATTTATTTTTTACATATTCAGTCTGTATTTGGACATTTTATTGAACTCACTTATAAGTTGTAATTGTTTTTTAGTTACTTCTCATGGATTTAAGTAGATGATTATATTATTTGCAAGCAACAACAGTTTTCTAATATCTCTCTGCAATATTTATATTTACTTAATTTTTCTTACCTTATTGCATTGGACAGTACCTACAGTTTAATGTTCAACAGCAGCAGTGTTGGCAGACATTTTTTTCTGGATCTTAAAGGAATGCCTCTGTTTTAGTATGATGTTCCCTGTAGCCTTCTTGTTGCTGCCTTTAGCAGTTTTTTTTCAGTTTCACATTACTAAGAGTTTTATTAATATGGATGCTGAATTTTATCAAATGCTTTTTAAAAAAAAATTATTGAGATGATTATATCAACCTTCTTAACCCACTTCCCATTTAGAAAGAAAAAAATTGCAGCTCACTGCTAGTGCAGTATTCTTGGGGCAAATGGGAAATGAGTTAAATAAATAATGTGGTGAATAAAATTAAGTAATTGATCCCAATTTTGGCCTACCCTTGCATTCCTAGTATGAGTCCTGATTGTGCATCATGTCTCATTCTTTTATTATAACATTTGGCACATTCTAAGAAGTGAAATAAGATCAGTATGATTGGAATGCATTGATCAAGGGAGATGTTGGTATATAATGAGATTAGAAAGGAAGCAGGAACAGACATTATGGCCTCTGTTAAGAAATTTGGGGTTTTATTCTAAAAGCAACAGAAAGCCATTGATGGATTTCCTCAAAGGGACAGGGGAGGTGATTTGATCTAAGTCTGCAAAATATAACTTTGACTACTGTGTGGAAATGGATTGGAGGGAGTGGTAGGTATGGAAGTGAAGAGACCATTTAGGAAGCTATTTCTGTCCAGGCTAGAATTTCTGTCCAGTGAAGAAGGAAGGGAGCAAATTCAGGATGTGTTTTGGAGGTCTAGCTAGAATTCACCAGTCTAGCTGATGGAATGGATATGAGAGAAAGTGAGGAATCAGTGATGACTTCATGAAATTCACCTATAAAACCATCTAGACCTAATACCATTGACAGCAGAGAGAGTAGGTCTTTTATTAGAACTTTTACTAGAACTTCTTGATTCTATAATTCACATATTTCTATATGTAGATTTTTAGAATCTTTCTCCAAGCTAAACCACTCATGTTAGCAAAACGTTTTAAAGCTTCCATTTTAGCTTCTAGCTTCACTGTCATTTTTTTTCACCATCCTCAGTTTTAGTGTCTTACCTCTATACTGACATTTCTCATTCAGCCATCACTTATCAAGCACTGACAGTGAATTATAGTTTCTCCAGTGATTCCTCTGGTTTACTGGGCAGACCCTGCTGACTCCATGTTTTTCAGAAGTCCCCAGAAAAGTTGCACTTCTGTTTTCAGAAGACCAAATTATTTCATCTTTAGGAATAGTTTCACCACATTAGGGACTGGAACCCTCCTCCATTCAGGACTCAGCATGTAAAATACAGTGTCAGAAGTCCAATCTACCACTTTTCATCTCACTAATTCCTAGGGCCAAAGGTACTCAAAATTCTATCTGAAAAAGTAATAAACTTGAAACAGTGAACAGTTACTGGAGATAAAACAAGAAAACCCAAAAGAATGTGTTTCTGTGTGCATGGCCACTTTCAGATGCAGGTGTGCTAGAATACCAAAGAATACAAGTCAGGCATATGAATTTCTGCGGTCTCCCTCCAGCTTCCAGACTCAGAAGCAGATATCTGTCCTGTATTTAAAGTATATAAGGTGGCTAGTTTCTCTATGTGTCTATGACAATAACTCATAGTCGTATAGTAAAAGAAAGCCCTTTGTACATGTATCACCTCATTTGATCATCATAAAAACTCCATGAAACAAAATGATTTCAATTTGTGGAAGCAGAAACTGATGCTGGAGAAATAAGTAAATGATAGAACCTGGACCTCAACCCAGATTTTTCTGACTCCAGACTTCAACTTCCTTTTAACTATACCATGAATACTCATTACGAAGTTGAAAACAGACTTCAGTTTTTAAACACACTTCTACCAGAACTACATGTTTCCTAACATGTTGATCAATTGATCCCTAACTCCAAAAATGCAGTATTTCACGTGACAGAACAATGACCATTTCTGAGCATTTCCTGAACCTCTGTCATGTGCCATGCCCTGAGTTACAGCAATGGGGAAACAGCAGGAAACAAAACACAGGCACAGTCCTGCTTTCATGGTACATCAAGTCTAGTGAATTACATCAGGAACTAAGTGAGTCATAAAACACAAAGGAAACGTTGTTATCATGTTCACTAACCTCAAATCGGATTCCAGGTCTTTATCAAAGACTGCAGAGTATGTGAAACGGACTTTTTTGTGTACTTGGTATATCATGCCCCAGCACAGCTGGTACTCCTGGTGTTTGAGGGAAATGCTAACTAGAAAGGGAAATGTGGCCGGGGGTTGCAAAAGAGCCTGGAAAGACAGCTCTACCTTTTACAACAGTGAAGTGAAGATGTGGGTGTTAACACGGACTCTGCAGGTTGTTGCAGACAGGAGAGAGCCTAGCTCTTGTTCATTTCCTATAGTCACAGAGAATGCCTCTATGACCCTGAGCTGGCACCTTGACAGTTCTGTTCTCCCTCCCTAAAGATAGCCCTTCAGAAGGAGTCCTTAATGAGCCTGCAGGCCCAGCTGGACAAAGCTCTACAGAAGGAGAAGCACTATCTCCAGACCACCATCACCAAAGAAGCCTATGATGCATTATCCCGGAAGTCAGCCGCCTGCCAGGACGACCTGACCCAAGCCCTCGAGAAGGTGAGGCCACACCCTCTAGTCTCCAGGGCTGTTTTCAGGCAAGGAAATGTCAAGGTAGTGGGAGAGGCACAGGAGCCAATTTCCTGCCTATTGACTGTCACTGGGGCCATCTCAAACCCTTGTGTGGGCTGGGATGTCTGTGCAGAGAAGGCCTGCTTCCTCTTTGTGAGGCTTGGAGCTGGGTGGAGGGCGGAGGAAGAGGCCAAAGATCAAGGCCAAATCTGGCAAGCCTTTCTGCCCATGGGTGACTCGGGGGCAAGGTTTTCCCAAAGTCTGGATTGTCAGGGAAATTCACGCCCCATCCTGTGCTGAGCATGGCCGGCCCATCAATTCATGGGATTGGAAAGGGAAGAAATGGAGGGAGTGGGTAGGGAGGAGAAAGCAGGGTACAGAAAACCAACCACTGTCATTTCCCACCCCGCTCTGGGAGACTAAGCAATGTGACCATCTGTTTCACCCTGGGCAGAGGACAGGAAGGGACTGGAACCCTCCTCCATTCAGGACTCAGCAGAGAGGGCCAAAGGCTCTGATAGCCATTCGTCCTCTTTGTCTTTTCCGGAAGCTCAATCATGTGACCTCGGAGACAAAGAGCCTGCAGCGAAGCTTGACACAGACCCAAGAGAAGAAAGCTCAGCTGGAAGAGGAAATCATTGCTTATGAGGAAAGGATGAAAAAGCTCAATATGGAATTAAAAAAACTGCGGGGCTTCCACCAGGAGAGTGAGCTGGAGGTGAGGAGCTGCCCGGGGCTTGGGCTGCCTTCCTCGTAGGAGTCCACAAGGTCACCTCTTGCATCCAGAATTATTTAGCACGAAGCCGTTCCCTTGGGCTGATAGGTTCCTTCCACTTTCTTGGCTCCCTGAACTTCAGGCAGAGGCGGCAAAGATCGGAGCATGGGTGCCCTCTGCTGGCTGCTGGGAAGAAAATACCCCCAACACATCTCCCAAGGCCCAGGAAGCACCCTCCGGCCTTGTTGTGGGTCCTGGGGTCAGGGAGGCCAGCTGGAGTCCCCCTCCTCACTTTGCTCTTCTGAGTAGGTGCACGCCTTCGACAAGAAGCTAGAGGAGATGAGCTGTCAGGTGCTGCAGTGGCAGAAGCAACACCAGAATGACCTCAAGATGCTGGCAGCCAAAGAGGAGCAGCTCAGGGAGTTCCAGGAGGAGATGGCCGCCCTGAAAGAGAACCTCCTTGAGGACGATAAGGAGGTGGGCATGCCTCAGCTTCTGCGTGCCTCCTCTCCATGCCTTCAGGCACATCCTGTGGCCACCCAAATGCCAGACAGCCCTTGGTGGGGGTGGGGGAGCCTGGGAGCAAAGGAAAGGTCACCCCCTCCATTTAGCACAAAGCAAGGGCCACAGCTGCTGGTTCAACCCACCTATGTTCTTGTGGCTTTGTTGATAGATACTGAGCAGAATGAAGGACCTATTCTAGAGAAGAGACTGTCGGGTACACCAGCTACCCCGACCTAGTCCACTGGGTACATCCTGACACTTTTGGCAGCCCTGGACCCTACAGTAGAATGGGCTAAGTGACCTTCTGGGCTTGTCCCAGGCCCACCTCCCTGAGCAGTGAAGTTCATGGCAGGAGGCCACAGGACAGCTCAGGTGGTCACTGGGCCTTTGCTCGAATTACAAAGAAGGCATCTTAGGCCAGGCACAGTGGTTCACACCTGCAATCCCTATGTTTTGGGAGGCCAAGGCAGGAGGATTGCTTGAGTCCAGGAGTTTGAGCCCAGCCTGGGCAACATAGCAAGACCTCATCTCTACAATAAGTTTAAATGTTAGCTGGGCATGGTGGCCTATGCCTGTGGTCCCAGCTACTCGGCAGGCTGAGTGGGGGGATAGCTTGAGCCAGGGGGAAGTTAAGCTGCCATGAGCTGTGATCACACCACTGCACTCCAGGCTGAATGACAGGGCAAGACTGTCAAAAAAAAAAAGAGAGAGAGAAAGAGAGAGAAAGAAGGCATCTCTTCCTCTTCCTCCAGATGTTTTTCTTCCATCTGTTAGAAAATTGGCTTAGCATACTTCTTTTTTAGGAGTCACTTTAATGCCTTCACACTGGAAACCAGGATTATAAATGTACGAATCTACTGTGTCTCTGCTATAAATGGTGCCTTCTCAGAAATGTCACCTTTGTGTGAGATGCCACCCACACAGCCAGAGGGGGAGGCCTGGTGGCAACTCCACAACTCTGGCCTCGGGTTGGACAGCAGAGTCGAGTTTTCTTTTCCCAGGAAGACAGAAGAGGCCTGACTCGGAAGGAGGGATGACAGGCCTGTGCTCCCACCTCTGACTGTCTCGTTTTCTTCTTCTACCCAAGCCCTGCTGCCTGCCCCAGCGGTCTGTACCCAAAGACACCTGTAGCCTCTACCGAGAGAACGATCAGATTATGACCAGCTTGGAGCAATGGGCGAAACAGCAGAAGTGAGTATGGGAGGAAAAAGGAAGGCAGGGTCCAAGGCCTGGACTGAGCCGAGGAGCCACACGGGTGCTAAAGATTAGTCACACACACACCTGCACTCCTGGAAAATAGATCCAGTCTCAGTCCACACCCAAGGGACGGGAATAAGATGGAGAGGAGGGCTCAACCCTTCAGGCAGGTCTGGAAAGCCCTGCTGACCTGGAAACAGCAGCGGCAAGGAGGAAGGAGTGCTTTGCTGTGGCTCCGATGTCCTCCTCCTGTCCCGGGATCCAGCTTCAGTGCCTGGCCCTCTTGAACTCATTCCCTTGAACTCACCGGGGCTGACAGGGATTTTGCATAGGAGTTGAGTTCAGAGAGTCCACTGAATGCCCAGGTGCTAGGAAGGCCCCAACTCTGGGGACAGGGTGATGCATGGGGGGCCTGGGATGCAGCTGCCATCCTGCTGAGAACCCAGCGTCCCATTCAGCCCACTGCACCCTTGCTCATAGGAGGCTGGCAACTGGCCACTCTTTTCTCCTGTGATTTTATTACAGGGTCGCCAATGAGAAACTGGGAAACAAGCTCCGAGAGCAGGTGAAATACATCGCCAAGCTGAGTGGTGAAAAGGAGTAAGTCATCTTACATTACCCCAGCAGCTTCCTGGGAGCTGACTGGAAGGGTCAGCAGGGAGCCGGGGCTGGCTTTAGCCCTTGATAGGAGGATCAGCCCAGGAAAGTACTTCAGAAAGACCTCCAGGTCCCGAATCTGCATCTGTGTCACCTTGGGCATATCACTTGACCTCTCAGAGCCTTAGTTCTCTCACCAAAAATCCAAAGGGAGTTTAGTAGTCTTTTTGTTCCTTCCTGCTCTCATGGTTCTCAGAGGTCAAGGGTGCTAAGCAGGGAACAGGCAGTGAAAGGCAGACTGGATTAGTTAGGGCAGGAGCTGAGCTACTCTAACAGATCCCAAGTGAAGGAACAAACAAGGAACATCTCTTCGTGAAATCATCAGGTGAGCAGGCCAGGTTGGAGGAGCCCTTCTGTTCCACCTGTTCATCTGGGGGCCTCTGGTCTTGCTTCCCCTCATGGTCAAAGCTGGGTCCATTAAGAGGGAGGTATGCGAGGAGTGTTACCAGTTTGAGAATGGAGGGGAAGGTATGAAGATCTAAAACCGAGATTTTGGAGGTGGCAAAGTAACAACTAACAACAAGCCTTAGGACAGCGCTTCCCATCCTTTTCTCAGGGAACACTTAGAAAACGACAATACCTTACATAACACCGTGGATACTGTGCAGCTATCAAAAAGAATGAGATCATGTCTTTGTGGAAACATGGATGGAGCTAGAGGCTATTATCCTTAGCAAACTGACACAGGAATAGAAAACCAAATACCACATGTTCTCACTTGTAAGTGAGAGCTAAATGATGAGAATTTATGAACACAAAGAAGGAAACAACAGACACTGGGGTCTATCTGACGGGGGAGGGTAGGAGGAGGGAGAGGAGCAGAAAAGATGACTATTGGGTACTGGGCTTAATTCCTGGGTGAGGAAATAATCTGTACAACAAAGTCCTGTGACATGAGCTTGCTGATGTAACTTGTACCCTGAACCTAATACAAGTGAAAATAAAACAAAAGTGAAAAAGAAAATGACCACAGTTTAGGATCACTTGAGGCCAGGAGTTTGAGACTATCCTGGGTGACAGCAAGGCCCTGCCTCTACAAAAAAAAATTAAGAATTAGCCTAGCCAGGCGTGGTGGTGCACACCTACAGTCCCAGCTAATTGGGAGGCTGGGGTGGGAGGATTACTTGAGCCCAAGAGATTGAGGCTGCAGTGACCTATGTTCACACCACTGCACTCTGGCATGGGTGACAGAATGAGACCCCATCTCTAAAAAAGAAGGATAAAAATAACCACATCTGTTTGGCATACTTGTGACAAAGCTGACCAAGCAGTGGCTGCCCCAGAGCCTTGCCCCTAGGGCTGTGGGCATCTCCAAACACCTGGAATCCATTCGTGGCACCCCAGGTGGAAAGCCCTATTTAGGCTTTGGCCTTGGGTACATGGCAGAGTTGAAGAGAAGGCTGAGACCTTTGGAATAAGGAGGCCAAGGAATTGAGAAACCAGGACGTGGATGAACTGTATGGGATATTGAAGGCTTTCGAGATGCTGACAGGAGGGGGCCAGAGAGCCAGGGAAGGAGGGCACTGCTGAGACCCCCTCTCCAGACCCAGGGCCACTGGGAGTGAGGGGCTACTGGGCAGGGGAAGAGGCGTCCTCAAGGTTGGCCAGCTTTGTAGAGAGGAAAAGGGTAGAGCATATGCCCAGAGAAGAGGTTGAGGATGAATTCTGTACTTGATTTCCTCTAGGAAAGACCATGAAACTTTTTACTGGGGTGTAACTAAAAGAAAAATTGTCAGACTCTGAAGGTAACAGATAACGTCAGTCTTTTTCTTCTGTTGTGCCAAGTCCAGGAAGTTCTTTTTTACAAAGAACTCACTCTTGAGTTTTCCTGTTCTTATTTGAAAGAAAAGCATCTTTTAATGATAATAGTAGCTCAACTAATACATATTTTTGCTGTGTGTGAGGTACTGTCTTAAGTGTTAACACGTATGAGCTCATTTCATCTTCATAAGACCTCCTGCGTTCAGTATAGTCATGATCCCCATTTATGGATGAGGAAAGAGAGGACCTGGGAAACTAAGTAACTTGCCCCTGGTCTCAAAACTAGTAAGTGGCAGAGTCACAATTCCAATGTGGGAAGTCTGGTTTCAGAGCCCACTTTCACCCACTGCCCTCAACATTCGTTTGGAGACACACAACAGTGATAATAAAAGTTGCCGTTTATTGAGGCATGGGGAATGTGCTAAATTATCTTCCCCCTCCTCTGCATGGCAGCCTCCATTTCCTCATCTGTAAAATGGGGATAAGTAACTTGCACAAGTTCTTGACAGAGCTGGGATCTCCTGTGCTCCCGACTTCAGCAAAGGGAAGCAGAGAGAATGCGGGCTTTGGCATTGGTGCTAGGTGAGAATGTTTCCAAGGCATGGCCATGAGAACCCGAGGACACATGATCACAGTTGTCCCTAACAGCCTTCTGGTTCTTCAAGTCAAATTTCTATCATTTATCAAACCAGATCCTCATATGAACCCCAGCAGTCAGGCCAGGCCTGACTGTCCCCGTCTGACAGATAAGAAAACAGGCCCAGAACTGGCAGAGTTGGGCAGGAGTACCAGCTCCTGGTCTACTCGGAACCCAGGCCTGGGCTTCTTCCAGTACACATGTAGGCCTCCATTTCTACAGAGCACGTGTAACAGCCCAGCTCTGAACAGACATGGGCATCTGTGCTGTCTTCCCTGTGACACCTTTATCTGTCCTTTCTAGCAGGGAACCAAGCAGAGCCACCAGCCCCAACACAACCCATCCTTCCTCTCCTTCCCACAGCCACCTCCACAATGTAATGGTCCACCTGCAGCAGGAAAACAAGAAGCTGAAGAAGGAAATAGAAGATAAGAAGACGAAAGCTGAGAACACAAGGCTATGCACCAAAGCCCTAGGCCCGAGCAAAACAGAGTCCACACAGAGAGGGAAAGTGTGCGGTGCCTTGGGCTGGAAGGGGTTGCCCCAGGACGGGGGTCAAAGAATGGACCTCACCAAGTACATCGGGATGCCCCATTGCCCGGGTACGTCTGCCATTTGTCAATAAAATAAGTGTGTTTTTTTCTTTAAATCACTGGATTGAGAATTCAAGTAGGAAGAAGAAAATAGGCCTTTTGTGACCTCAAGTCATTTTCTTAGCTACTTGGGACCAAAGATTGTTGTTTTCACATCCGTAAAGGGAGGAGGCAAATTAAGACCCCTTCTGATCTAAGAACATCTGAAGCATACCCAAGTGCCTCACATACCTGTCCCTTCCCCGACCCAGACCCGTTTTAGGGAACAGGAAGTAGAGGCATCTTCCTTCTACATCTGGAAACCCCGTAAGAGCACCCCAGCCACCTACCTAGCCTGGGTCCACAGCCACCTTTCCTGCCACTTGGAAACTCCATGTTACCCCAGAGGCAAGAGGTCACCTGCGGCAGTCACCAGGCAGAGCTGCCTGGCCATGCGGCCAGTCCTTGAGGAGTCACCTCAATCACAATTAACGAGGTGATTCCTCAAGGAATCTCCTCAAATCAAAACTCTCATTTCCTCCCTGTTCCCTCAGGTTCCTCGTATTGCTAGAATCCACATCTAGCCATGAGCAGCATTTCCACGCGTGTTTCTTCCGAGGACAGTGAGTTCCCAGCCCTCCCTTTCTCTTGACCTGGATCAGCTCTTACGGGAATATATCACGGTCCCAGCCTATTTTGCAAGACACTAACGTTCATTGAGTTTTGCCCACTTCCTGCCATGGAGTGAGCTTTAGAAGCATACGTCCATCTCCAGGCCCAAATATGAAATAAAGACATGAGCATGAGCACAGCGGTTGTGGTGAGCTCTTGGTGTCTTGCAGACATTTCTGCCCCGCAATCCCCCAGCAACATGTTCATCCTGTTTTCTCTGGATTTTAACAGATACTGGTCTCTTCCATATACGGGGAAGCCATAATCCCCAATGCAAGCTTCTGGATTCGTTTTTAAACGAACAAAAGTGATAAGTAGCACCTTTTTTATTTTCTTTCCATTACTATCTGAAACTTAAAAAGAAAAAGTCTAAGAACTCCAAAAAGGAAGTAATCCTGAGACCCCAAAGAAAGGAAGAGCAATAAGGGCTGTATTTTTCAAATGGGGGAGCAAGAGCACACCACCTGCCCCCCGCCTCTGGGCTCCACATTCCATTCCTTCTTCTAACAATTGTATTTTCCTCCCCAGCCACCTCAATACAAGTGAAATTCCATTATGACAAACTCCAAGGACAGCTAATATTTTATTCTGGTAGGATTTTGTTAAACTGAGTACATGTCTAGAATTTATATTTCTAGTCTATAGGAAGTGGAGACAACTCACTACTAGTGTAATATTAATATAAGAGAAAGAAATGAAAGATCTTACATTTCTGAGGGGGGCGGTAAAAGTGAAGGAAGAAACCCACTGGTTAGCAATGATTCTTCAGTATTCTTCCTGGGCCTAATAAAGGCCAAGAAAATTCACTGCTAATAGGAACACTAACAAGTTATATAGGATGCCCCCGATAGAACTTGGGAAGGGCAGTTCCAGAAATGCAGTGTGAGCTAGGAGTGACAGGCATCTCTGGTAGTTTCTGTTACGATAGTTGTTGTCTGTTTAAGCTCTTTGAACTATGTTCCCTCATGTGGTTTAGAATATGAGTTTATTTTCTAGAGAAAACAAAGATTGAAAAATCTAGTACTAATCTAGCCTGTGGCTTACTTTATTCAAACAAAAGTTCAATGCCATTAAAATCCCCAGCCTCATCTAATAAAAAGGGATTTTATCTCTATAATTTACCAAAATATTTCATATATTTTGGCCAAAATTACAATCTCTGGTTTCTTTTAATGTGGTACATCTTTCCCAAGTTATCTTTCACTTCCTGTGGAGTGATTACACCAGAGCAAAGCAGGTAGTCAGTTATGGAGAGCTAATTGGTGGCAGAGCCAGAAAAACATCAACACATTACCCAGCCATCTGACTTTGACAGCCCAGCCAGGCAGAAGACCTAGCTGAGTACAGGGGATGGACTTAGAGAAGTGCAGTTTCTCTAAAGATAGGAGGAAGGGCAGGGAAACTGAGTGTTGCCTGCCTATAATTTGTTAAGAAATAACCAAGGAATTGAGTTCCTAAAAAAGTAGTTCGAACAGCTGATAATAAAAAGAAATGGTTACAACAACACTCTTTTATGAATTTTTTTTTAGAAAGCACTCAACAAATGAGGATTAGAAGGAAACTACCTCAGCATAATAAAACCACATGTGAAAAACCCAGAACAAACATCATACTCAATGGTGAAAGACTAAAAGCTTTTCCTCTAAGATCAGGAATAAGGCAAGAACACCTACTTTGCCACTTCTGTTCAGCATTGTACTGGCAGTTCTAGTCAGAGCAATTAGGCAAGAAAAAGAAATAAAAGGGATTCAAATTGGAAAGGAAGAAGTAAAATTCTCTCTGTTCACAGATCTTATATGTAAAAAACCGTAAAGACTCTACAGACCACCTCCCCTCCCAAAAAAAGCCTGGTAGAACTAATAATGAATTCAGCAAAGTAACAGGATACAAAGTCAACACACAAAAATGAACTGCAGGTTTATATAACAATTAATAATCTGAAAAGGAAATTATAAAAATAATTTCACTTCATTTATAATAGCATCAAAAATAAACAAATACTTGGGAATTAACCACGGCAGTAAAAGACTTGTACAATGAAAACTGTAAAACATTACTGAGAGAAATTACAGAAGACATAAACAGAAACACATCCCATGTGCATGGATTGAAAGACTTAATATTAAGATGTCAGTATACATAAGGTGATCTACAGTTTCAATGTAATCTCTGTCAAAATCCCCATTATTATTATTATTATTATTTTTTTTTTTTGCAGAAATAGGAAAACTCAACCTAAAACTCACATGGAATCTCAAGGGATCCCAATAGCCAAAATAGTCTCAAAAAAGAAGAACAAAGCTGAAGAACTTACTGATTTCAAAACTTACTACAAACCTGCAGTAATCAAAATAGTGTGGTACTGCCACATAAATCAAAAGACAGACATACAAACCAGTGGAATAGACTAGGAAGAATCCCAGAAATAAACCCTCACATATATGGTCAAATAATTTTGACAAGGATGCTGAGACTATGAAATGGGGAAAGGATAGTTTTTTATTTTGTTTTCCAACAAATGGTGCTGGGAAAACAGAATATTTGCATGCAAAAGAATAAGGCTGTGCCCTTACCTAATACCATATACAAAAATTAACTCAAAATGAATCACAGACCTAAATGTAGCCACTAAAACTATAAAACTCATAGAAGAAAATATAGAACAAACCCTTCATGACATTGGATTTGGCAGTGATTTCCTGGGTATAACACCAAAGGCACAGGCACCAAAAGAAATAATAGACAAATTAGACATCATGAAACTTTAAACATTTTGTGCATCAAAAGCAATACCAATAGAGTAAAAAGGCAACCCACAGAATAAGAGAAAATATTTCCAAATCATATCTCTGATGCTAATATCCAGAATATATAGAGAACTCCTAAAACTCAAGAAAACAAACAACCCAGTTTGAAAATGGGCGGAGCATATGCCGAAGAATGAAACTGGACCCCTATCTTTCACCATATACAAAAATCAACTCCAGATGGATTAAAGATTTAAATGCAAGACCTCAAACTATAGAAATCGTTACCGCCTTTAATTCCAGCACTTTGGGAGGCCGAGGCGGGCAGATCACGAGGTCAGGAGATCAAGACCATCCTGGCTAACATGGTGAAA